AACATTAATATTGTTGGGGAAGAGGGGTTTTGGGGAATGAATAAAGAGTTGGAAGCTAGATGCTAGAATCTACCAGAGAACTCTCGCAGTGGCCCTGAAGACCCACGGAGGCCTCAGAGATCCAGGCATTAAAGCAAGGAGATGCTGGTGCTATGGCTGAGGAGCTGGGGCTAGTGTTGGGGGGAACTGATGCTCACTCCAATGGACATCCACTGTTTGGTCTTCACAAAACCTCTCTTTCAGGAATCAACTCTCCCATATCCAAACTGCAAGGTTGCATTGGGAACTACCATGTTTCTATAATATGACCCTAGCCCCTGGTCACTTGGATTGGGCCAGGGTCAGGCACTTGACCCATACCAGAACAATAATTTTTCTGCTTGGAATTTGGAAGAGATAGAGATGAGAGAAGAAGAGCTGTCTTAACTTCTCTCAGCTGATTGGTCCAATAGCATATAACTCTTAAGTTCTTTTAACAGCCATATTTTCCTCCATGTGTAGAAGTAACAAGCAGGAGAAACTGATCTAATAAGAAAATGAAAGATGAGGAGATTCTCAGTGGCATATGAGTTTCTAGTTATGCTCCATTACACATAATATTTCATTCCTGAGGGCAGGTTCTAATCTAGTACCTTGTCTCTAATCTAGTACCTTGTCTCTGTGACATGCCCTCATATCATTATAAGGATTTTTGTTATTTACAATCCAAAAAGCTAAGGAATAATATGAACTTTCTTATCTGATACCTTCATTCATTTGAGTGCATTCTTCTTGTACCACTGCTGTATTTGGCTACCAGGCAAGGTGCTGGAAATCCAATGATCAATAGTATAGACATAGTATCCGCCCTCAGGGACCTTATACTTGGAGGTGGGATAACAGGTTAGGGTGGGGCAGATCTGGAATACATACTGTATGGGTAAAATCCAGGTTTCTGAGAGCACATAACATAATTATGAGAGCAGACAAGCTGAGAACTGAAGGAACAAGCAGGAGTTGGCTGGAAGGAGTTGGGAATTCTGATGGAAAGGAGGGAAAGCATCCCAGTGTGGAAGAAGAGGATGAATAATTCACCATGAAGCCAGCATCCTCTGGAAAGAAAGCAACACTTCAGTTAAGGGTCCTGGTTTCTCATCTTCCCCTACTTTGGGCCCTCCACTAATACACTGGTAAGAAGACTCTTTCCTTTTGCCCAGAAGCAACTAGACTCTTCTATTCCTTACTGAGCTATTACAAGGGGAGAAACACAAAACACCCCCTTTCATTCATTCCCCTTTTGGTAGAGAACACTAGACTTCATCCTAATAGCCGCTATCCTCACCTTCCTTACTGCTATGTTAGGGGCAGCAAAGTGGCTGGCTAATAAAACCACATTTCCCAGTCTTCCTTGTAGAGGGGATGGCTAAGGAGGGGTCACTGGAGGTGATTGGGTAAGGTTTTTAGAAAGTTGTTTAAAGGGGTTAACTTAACTAGCAAGTACCACTTTGTCCCCCCCCCCCCCGTTCTTGCTTATTTGTCTCTGGGACCAGGACTTGATGGGTGGAGCTCCAGCGGTCATTTTTATCTGGGAGTTGAAGTCATGTGCTAAGGATGGCTTAGCAGAAGACAGGATTCCAGCTTTTGAAACTTGTAGAGTTCCGCACACCAGCCTGACCTGCCTGCCTGGAGACAGTTTATCATGTAAGAGGAAAATAATCCCCAATCTCATTTAGGCTTAAAACTGTGGTTTTGGATTGCTCTTAATAGTGGCTGAACAAAATTCCTTGTTGGTGTAATCTTAAAAGCCCTAGTTGTTTCTTTTCACTAAATAGTCCCCAAGTCATTCATTCAGTCATGTATTCATTCACTCACTCAAACACCCTCTCATTGAAGATAGCAATTTCATATTTTGGAATCAGATGAGATAACATGGGTATGAAAAGGTAGTGTAAATACCAAAGCATTCTGTACATATTAAATTGTGCTTTCATCATTTTATTAATATTTTGATTTGTTGTTACTCAAGTGTCCAATGAAGAAGTTTCAGTATATGGTATGCAATTTGCTGGAGGGAAACTACTGCTGTTAAGTGATGTGAATTATTGAAATCCAGTGCTATTGAGTATCTTCTCTTTTTTTACAAAAATTTTAAACATTTATTTATTTTTGAGAGACAGAGAGTGAGCAGAGGAGGGCAGAGAGAGAGGGAGAGGGAGACACAGAATCTGAAGCAGGCTCCAGGCTTTGAGCTGTCAGCCCAGAGCCTGACACAGGGCTCGAACTCACGAACTGTGAGATTATGACCTGAGCCGAGGTGGGCTGCTTAACTGACTGAGCCACACAGGTGTCCCTAGTATCTTCTCAAACTGTAATATGCACAGAGAAAAATATAGGTATCTTGTTCAAATGCAGATTCAGACTCAGAGGGTCTGGGGCGGGCCTGAGATTTTGCATTTCTAACAAGCTCCTAGGTGAGGCTGCTTTGCCTTGGACCTTATAACAGAGACCTAGGAGATCTTTCCAGGTGCTGGGGAGAGAAATGATGAGAAGAGGAAGGTACGATAACAGGTTATTTAGAGGCTCTATCTCCAGGCAGGTTGGTAATAATTTAAAAAAGCCAGGAACTATGCATATAGTATTTCATTGGACTCTTACAACCTTACATAAGAAGAATTCTAATCCTTATTTTACAGTTGAGAAAATAAGTGGAAGCTCAGAAGATTACAGGAAAGTCACACAGCAGGTAAGTGGCAAGGATTGGATCGGGACCCAGGCTTTTCAGAGGCCAGAATCCATATTTCTTTCTAAGCACCTTGCTAAAATTCTGGGGACACTTACTCCTTTCACTGAGTTCTTCCTTCTCACCCAGGAAATGCTAGTCAGGGAAGGAGGAAGAGCTGCCCTAAGGAACCAGGCCAGCTGCTTGGCAGCTCTCATCTACATAAAGGCTTTCAGTGGCTATGCTTTGTTTTCAAATCCTGGGGCCCCAGGGGGTGGGAAGTGGGAGGGGTACAGGTAGGATGTTTATGCGTTTTATTGGACAATTTCCACTTTGTAAGCCTAATCTCTTCTCTGGAGAGAGCCAATTTCCAGAGCAGCTGGAACTTGTCCTGGGAAGTGGGAGCCACATAGGTGAGAGCAAACCTGCTCTGACTCTGACCCGGACCCTTGCTCTCTCCCTGGATGCTTGAGGCATTTGAGGGACTACTGGCTCAGCACTTGGGCAGCTGGCAAGTGTAAGGCCCCAGTGAAGACCCTCGTTTGTTCCACGGTAGCAGATGTAAATGAGCACTTTGTGTCTCCACAAAAGGTAGACCACTCAGAGCAGAGCTTCTTTGATAGATCGATAGGCTCCCTCTGCCAGTGCTGTGCCCTGGGGCTCTGACGTAAGAAATCTGAGCCATTTCTGTCTCCAGTTTCCCACGTGTGACTAGATTTTGTCTAATTTCATCACCACAGGGAGCTGGGGAAGACCCTTGCCCAGTAAATCTTTGATTGGGAAGGTGGTTCTATCATTTGGAAAGATGATGTTAAGGAGAGAGAGGACTAAGTGACTAATGTATACAGTGGGGGGGGGGGGGGGGCTGTGCTAGTTCAGAGAAACAGCTCCGGGTGCAGGATCGGGAAAAGCCTGGGATCCCAGAGCAGGGTTGATGAGGTATGAGGGCAGAAAATCATGGAGGCACATCAGGAATGCCAGCGTGAGGCCTGATTGCAGAAAAGCATGAAAGAGCTTCCTGGTAAGAAAAGAGACCAGGACACATGATGTGGTTCCATCTCCTCTCCAGAGGACAAGCTGTGGTCTGCTTTGATGTTAGCACCACAGGTATGCCAAGGCTATTAGACAGACTGGTTATAGGTCTGGGATCCAGCTACAGCAGCAACACCATAGGTGGGAAGAGAGGGGCCAGAGGGGCCAGCCTTCTCATTGAAGGATGCCCAGAGGCATCCTAGTGTGGACTCTCTGAAGAGGAAGGACTTGATAGTATCTACTCTGGCTGAGCCAAAAACATCCTCTAGCCTTCATTCCCCCAGGAATGTTTTCTGTTCTCAGGATCCCTCCTTTCTGAGACAGGACCAGCATGTCCAAGGGTGTGAAGGATAGAATGGTGTTGGATATTCCAAATCACCCTCACTCTGGCTGGTCCTAGAAGTAGAAGAAAGCTAGGAAAACCCTCTTAGGAGCACATGACCTTCATTGTCTCCCACCCACCACCATCTTTGGGGTCAGGCTACTCTAAATGGTTGGCAATACTTGCTGCCTCAACTTTCTTGATTATCATTTTCCCAGAATTCTGCTGTCTAGTTTCTGCCCCACTCTATGCTACCCCACTGAAACTGCTCCAACTATTGGCGTCAACAGTCTAGACCAAACCCAGGGACCATTTTTCAATTCTTACTTCTACTCTGAGCCATTTACCTATTAGCTATAATCCTTTCTTTTTGAAAATCTCAACTCTAGGGGTTCTTAGCCAAGGGTTCATGTGTCCTTAGATTGTCTTCAGGAAAAAACAACATGCGGTCCTTGAAATTGTTATACAAAGAGTTATACAAATGTGCATTTTTTTTAGGGAGGATGGTCTAGGGCATTCATTGCATTCTCAAAGGAATCAATGAACTGCTAATGTTAGGAATCAGTGCCTTCAACATCTGTATTGGCTAGGATTAAGTTCTTGCAGGGGCGATCCAAAATAACAATGGTTGATTAGTCTTTCACGTATACAGAGGTAAGTTGTCAGAGCAGGAAAGATGGCTCAGACTTAGGAAGTCCTCAGGGACTCGGGCTCTTCACAGCTGTGCTCTACCAACCTCAGGATATAGCCCTCAACCTCAAAGTCCAAGATGGTAGCGTCTCATGCTCCAAGTAGCATGTTTGAGGGAGGGACAAAGAAGGATGTAAAGAGTATGTATGCTTCTGCTGTCTCTCAGAGGTTCCTGGGAGCTGCTTTGTGACATTTCCATTACATCATTGGCCCAAACTTAGTCGCGTGGTCATATCTATCTGCAGAGAGGCTGGGAGACATCCTTATTCCGGACAGTCATGTACCAAACTAAAGATCCTATTACCGTGGATGAAGGGTAGAAAAGATTTTGGGGGACAGCTATCAGCACCTGTCATACTCATACAATATCCCTTTCCACTTCATTCTAGTACATTAGAGATGGGAAGCACTTGCAGCTGGCATTCCAAATGTGGTTTAGGAACTGCCAATTAAATGAACTTAAATGAGACTTGATCCTGGAACTCAGATGGGGAGAGGCAGCAGGTAAGTTTTGCTGGTGTGGAAGGACGCCAGCTTGTTTCATAATCATCAGCTTCCTACCTCATTCAGCAGCTTCCTGTAGCACTAGTTGTTGGGTGGCTTCTTTCCTGATCATGATGGCAGAGGCAGGCATGGTGATTCTGAGGGTTTACAGGTATCTCTGGAAGCTCCATTTAAGTCTACTCCTCCACCCCTCCCAGCACTGCTATAAGCCAGAGCTTCTCACATTTTAATGTTCATGTGAATGACCAGAAGATACAGTAAAGGGTAGATCTGGAGTGAGATCTCAGATTTTGCATTTCTAACACGCTCCTGGGTAATATCTGATGGTTAGAATAGATTTTTGAGTAGCTTGGTCTTAGCGTGTCCTCTGCTCACCTATACTCGATCATAAATTCCTTTCTGCTTTAATATCTAAATATGTTTTCTGATTATCCAAATTCTGTGGCCGTTTCTTCTTTCTTGAGGGATCTTCTTCCTGTGCTTGTCCCTTAATATTGGGATACCCCAGGACTCTGGCTTAGGATCATTCTCCAGGCTCTTCCTGGACGATCTCTTCCATCCTCTGGGCTTCAGTCACTACCTATATGCTTCTCAACTCCCTATCCGATCTGTACTCTCCTTTGCTTCAGATTCCAGTATCCACAGCTGACCAGAACTGAGTTCTATAGATGAGCAGCGCATGAAAGAAAGCTTCTGTGGTCAAATAAGTTTGGGAAATACTGCGTTAAATAAATGAAGTTTATTTCCTTGCTGAGTTACTTCTAGAACTGTTAATGTGCTAAAATGCATTGCAAATTTCCAAGAGGGGGCATGTAATATCTAGTACTTCTTAAATTTATTTGACATCTGTAGTAGATACAATCTATGTTTTCTCAGTTTCTGTTACACTGAGTTATCCTGAGTGGTGGACTCCTAGCATTTTGCTTTTCTTTACTGTTGCTTCTGTAACCAACTGTGTAGTTTTGTGGCCCACCAGCTGCTTCGCCCTGCATTTTGCATTGTTTCCCTGCGTCACTTCCCTTTGGCATCATTCTCGAGGCTTTGGGTTTGCACCTTCTTAAAAGGCACCAGCATATAAATCTTGCCTCTGGCTCTGTTTCCCAGGGAATCTGGGCTAATACAGCCTTCAACAGACTCCCCACCGACCACCCCTGGCCTTTTTCTTGGAATATTAATATCTCCTGGAACTTGGGTTCCTAGAATACACTTCAGAAGTGCTGTGTTGGTCATCTTTCCCTGTATATATACAAGCACCTGAGGCTCAGCATGTCCAAGACCTGATCAGTTCCTTTTCTTTTATATCTGTCCCTTTTCTGGTCCTATCTGTTTTAACAACTGACACCATATTTGCTCATTACCCAAGCTACCCAGGGGTCATTCTTTGTTTTGAAGATCTCATGGGCTTTATTAAGCAATCTGGATGTCATTCCTGACTCCTTCTTTTCCTCCTTCATCCGATCTGTTGCCTCCTCCTCCTCCCTCTTCTTATGTGACTAATTAACAATTATTCATCCATAAAGAGGCAGTATAGGTACCATCTTCTTATCCTATTTCCTTGGTCATCTGAGTGATGTACTGTTCTGTTGAGCTCTCATAGGCCCCTAAACTTGTCTCTCTTATAGGATTTATCACACTTTATGGTATTTTCTTTCTTTCTTTCTTTCTTTCTTTCTTTCTTTTTCTTTCTTTCTTCCTTTTTCTTTCTTTCTTTCTTTCTTTTTCTTTCTTTCTTCCTCTTTCTTTCTTTCTTTCTTTCTTTCTTTCTTTCTTTCTTTCTTTCCTTCTTTCCTTCCTTCCTTCCTTCCTTCCTTCCTTCCTTCCTTCCTTCTTTCTTTCTTTCTTTCTTTCTTTCTTTCTTTCTTTCTTTCTTTCTCTTTCTCTTTCAATTTAAAAAACTGTATCTGTCTACCCTTGGCCCCACCTTTGGTGTCTCATTCAATTCTTAATCCCTGGCATCCAGGATAGAGAACTAACTGATTAATTGGATAGGAGATAGGAGTGAATGAGGTAAGTGGGAGAGAGAGAATTAAAATTTGTACACCTTCCAGAAAGGAAAAACAATTTCCCCTCTACCCTTCTGCATTTTTGGCTGAGAGCCCTATAATAAAAGGCAGGTTAGGGGTGTCCGGATGGCTCAGTCAGTAAAGCATATGACTCTTAATCTCAGGGCTGTTAGTTGAAGCTTCATGGTGGGTACATAGCCTACTTAAAAAAAAAAAAAAAAAAAAAAAGACAGGTTAACAAGAGAAAACAAACAAAACTTCTTAACATGTATACCTTATGTATACATGGGAGACACCCAGGGGAAAATGAGTAAGTCCCTGAACTGACTTAGAATTCAGGATTAAATGCCATCTTAATTGGCAGGGGGTGTAGGCCTCATAGGGGAAAGGCGGATTTTTGTTTTTAAGTAGGCTACATGCCCAGCATGGGGCCCAAACTCACAACTGTGAGATCAAGACCTGAGCTGAGATCAAGAGTTTGTTGCTTAACTGACTGAGCCACCCAGGTGACCCTAGAAGAGGACATGATTTTTAGGAAAGATGGATGGGAGATATGTTTCGTGACAAAGTCTGAGTGTGGTGTTAACTTCTAGTCTCCTCTACTGTGACAAGAGCCAGTCTTTCCTGGTTTATAAAATTCCTGGGGAGGGGATTCATGACAATTGAATTCCTTTTTAGGGATCTGTCTTTAGACAGATAAGGGAAATTCAGAGAACACTCCCCCTGCATTTGCTATTTCTCAAGTGTCCTACAGCTCAAAACAACTATTACACCAAAACAGCATATTTCAGCATGTCCTGAACTCCTGTAACCATATTTTGGCATGGCATATTCTGCCACCCTTCTTTCCACACCTTTGACAATTCTTTAGGAAGTTTCACTATTGAGAATCGGAGCTGGTAGATCTCATTGAATCAATCTCTTAGTTCTGAGAATAGGTCAGTTCAGTTTGGTCACACTGTTGCACATCTGAAACTAATATAATGTTATATGTCAATTATATCTCAATTTTATTTCAAGAAAGAGCACACCAATACCCAATAGAGCTTTTTCCTTTTAACAGATGAAAGAAAATTAAATTTTAGTTTTATATAGGCACACTTTTTTTGACGTTTATTTATTTTTTTTGAGAGAGAGAGAGCATGCAAGCATGAGTGGGGGAGGGGCAGAGAAAGGGAGACAGAGGATCTGAAGCAGGTTCTGTGCTGACAGCAGAGAGCCTAGTGTGGGGCTTGAACTCACAAGCCAAGCTATGAAATCATGACCTGAGCTGAAGTTGGATGCTTAACCCACTGAGCCACCAAGGTGCCCCTTCATAGGCATACTCTTGATACTACAGCTTATTTCTTTTGATCTCTTTTTTATTTTTAATTTTAGTTATTTAAATGTTTATTTATTTTTGAGATAAAGGGAGAGACAGAGTGTGAGTGGGGGAGGAGCAGAGAGAGAGAGGAAGACACAGAGGCAGGCTCCAGGCTCTGAGCTGTCAGCACAGAGTCCGATGTGGGGCTTGAACTCATAAACTGTGAGATCATGACCTGAACCAAAGTCAGATGTTTAGCCAACTGAGCCACCCAGAGGCCCCTAAAGCTTATTTTTAACCCCAGAGGCCCCTAAAGCTTATTTTTAACTCCCCCCTTTTTCCCCTCTAAAACCCTTTTAACAAATTAATTCAGTTTTGACCAGTTTGACCACAAGAGGTAAGATTCTCTGTCATGCTCTCACACTCCCTTTCTCCAACTTTCTACACCCATTTAGCTGTTGTCTTTTATTCTCTTTTTCTTTCTGGAACAACCAGTCATTCTATTTTAGGACAAAATTACTCTCTTTTCCCCTTGACAAAAATGTGTCTCCATAATTCATACCTTTCCTTAACCAAAAATATACCCTTTTTTCTTAAATATTTTGCATATAGAGCATTTTTTCTATTAATTTTAATTAAATACATTAATTAGAATTCTGAACTCTTAGAAACATGAATTTTTAGTGAACATTAAGCAGTAAGCAACTGTGAATTGTTACACCAATAGTCTGTAGAGGTCAAATTAGCTTTTGTTCCTCTGTAAGAAGAGGACAAAAGTAGGTAAACTTAGACGTACGTTTAGCAATTAGTGTTTCCAATTATATATAATGTTCCAATATATATAATGTTTACATTATCTTAATTGAAAATGACCTAGGTATTCAATGAATATCTGTCATGTAATGTAATAGTGTAACTTTAAGGTTTCAAGTTACCGAAAAGATAATTTTAGAAATGATTTTTAAGCAGTTATATTTTATAAAACATAATCATTGTTGAAAAGATCATTTATCAACTTTTATCCCACCTACATTTACTTGATTCACTTGTTCTTAACAATTATATTTAGATCAGTCCTGAAAATTTCATGAGACATTAGACAAAGTTAGGCATCACTTTAAGTTACTCTTCTTCCTGACAAATGTTGGGCTAGTACACTCAGCTAGAATAAAAGTTGTATGTCTCAGTATTTTTAATGCTGACAACTCTCGGGGCGCCTGGGTGGCTCAATTGATTAAGCGTTCAACTTTGGCTCAGGTAATGATCTCACAGTGTGTGGGTTCGAGCCCCGCATCGGGCTCTGTGCTGACAGCTCGGATCCTGGAGCCTGCTTTGGATTCTGTGTCTCCCTCTCTCTCTGCCCCTCCCCTGCTCATGCTCTGTCTCTCTCTATATCAAAAATAAATTTTAAAAAAATGCTGACAACTCTGAAGATGTGTCTTTTTGTTCTGTCTTGTTTTTGTTTTCACGAAACCAACAATATTCTTGTTTACAAAAGACTACTCAAGTCACATGAACTTGAAAAACATTTAGGTTAAGTTCTATACTGCTCTCAGAGAATGTTTAATTTATATCAGCACTTACGTTTCTTTAAGCCAATTAGACAGAACTCTTTTACAATTAATTCTGACAATGTCATCCAGAGTAACATACATATATGGACATACGTAAACATACAGACAAACATAGAGATC